AACTAAAAATCCATGGACTCATTGACTCATTGACCACGTGCATTTCCTGGTGCCCATTGTTTGGTGCCCATTCGTCGCTTTTGTTCCACACTTGCGTCCGGTCCACTGACTTGGTCTTGTTTGTTTTTGCGGCACCGGCCGCTATGTACCATGGAACAGACACTGTCTGCACGTCTGGAGATCCTGGAGAGTAGTGGGCCGGGGCGTCCAGACGTCCGGACACTACGTACGACCATCTGGGTGTCTGGACGTCTGGAGATCCCTATAAGTAGTGCAGTCCAGACGCGCACCAGTTGGATGACCTTCGTGCAGCGTCACTTGAGCTCCGCGGAGGGAAGCGGGGTTGATGCGATCTCGTCAGCGGACCGAGGAAAGATGGTCTTAAACAAGATCGCTTCTGGGCGGGTCATGGTGGGTCTCCAAGGTTCTGGCGATGTGCCCTAACTTTTGCCGCCCAAAGGTTTATGATGGTCTATATTATACTTAATTGCAGTTTTTTGTTAAGTGTGTGTGTTTTTTCCCCCTAAGGTTCCAAACGCATGCATGTGTGCAGCATTTTGAGCACACATGGCCTTCCAAGCTTGCCTACCCAAACACTCCCGACGAGACTGGAGTAGTGGAGTAGTCCGAGGCGCTGGCCGGCTTTTCCCGACGTTTGGACGAAAAATACCAAGAGGGGGGTGCTATAGAAGAGGCGCAAGAGAAGGGTTGTGTTTTTAACCCACAAAATTCGTGTGTTCGAAGTCCGTGTCCTCCAAGAGTCCGAGTAGAGGGGAGACGGGACGGTTTTTCTTGTTTTTGTTCGACTTCGCCATCTCATTGTTATTACTATACTTTTTGTTGTTTATTGTTTTACTTATTTTTGTTATTACTACTTACTTCACCGTATGTCTACTATTATTAGACTTTGTTTACTGTTTTCTGACGGACTGGGGATCCTCTTGGTGCCGTTGGGGGGGCATTAAAATTGAGGTTTGTCCAGTGGACACCTGTGAAGCTGCAGCTAGCATTTGTGAAGCTCTAAGACTTGCTGTACGACCTGCTGTTTTTGAGGTCAGTTGTCAGTGTCCTAAGAAAAGAAGCTGGTAAAGCATCCTCCAGTCTTGAGTTTTTTGCGGTGAGTCCGTTGTTGGCAGTTTTTTTGGGTTTGTGTATGTTCTTGTTGGGCCCATTGTAGATGTCAGTCACTTGCATGCCACTTCTCCTTTGATCCGCTTCCCCTCCATCAGATTCTGTCAGAGGCTGGAACATGTGGCATTTCATCGCTTTGCTACCTGTTTACGAGTACATGTGAGTCCTTCAGAACAAGCAGCTGTTGAAATGTCCTCTATAAATCTATAGACAGGGTCTGGGGCTTTCGGAGAACCCTATGAATAACATAGCTATATACATATATATATGCTAGAGCTCCATCCAACTATTATTTCACTGTGACATCTCTTACTCCTTGAGGGCGACTGTCAAGTGATCTGAAGATCTCAAGAGATTTGTTCCTTTGAAGATATTTGAACATCAAGGACCCATGTTTGGAGGGAGTGAGAGTGTCCAGCTGAAGCCTAATATGAAGAACATCTTGCACACTTTTGGGCTCCGGAAGTGAGGTGGAAGCCGTAGAAGCGCAGGAAAAATCATTTATAGTGGAACGGAACATATGTTCATATATTTTCATATATTTTCTATATTGTTCTATCAATTTTCCCTGTCATGGCCATGGCAGCCACTTCCATGTGATGTGTTCATCACTTCATGTGTCAATGGATAGTAGACTTGCTCATGAGGTGAACTCAGGACCCGCCCCGTTTGATCGCTTCGCCGTTCCAAACCGTAGGGTTTTGACCACGCTTGGCGTGCTTGGTCGGCGGCCGCCGCTTCTCCGTCAGGTTCCCTTCGACGATTCCGTTTACTACCATCAGCGTGACCGACCAGCGACCATGAGCTTCAAGGACCGTTCTCAGCGGAGATGGAGATCGATCGATCGATCGAACCGGAGGTGACCCGGAGGTGACCAGGAGTGGTTGTTTTTTTTGTCCTATTCCATTGCCACTTGGAGTTTGGGGTAAGACTTTGGGCACATGAAAACAAACACATGCCAACAGAGGAAGGGCGAGCTTTTGGGTTGAAGAAGTGCGGTGGAACAGCTCCTGGGTGGTGGGTAACGGCCACGGTTCGTAGGGTAAAAAGAGCGGGCATCCTAAACGTTGCACCGTACTATAGCTGGTCACAGGCAATGAAAGTAGAATAAATATGAATAATTAGTCATGTTTGCGCGAAAATGTTTGAAAGAGTAGTTATGGTTGTGTTATGCTGTATGATAGCATCTTTCAACACGTGAAAAGGCTTGTTGTGTTATGCTGTACGTTTTCTCACGTCCGGACGTCAGAAGATGATGTTCCTGTTTTCATGGTTCGATCGACTTGCAGGACTATGTCGTTGGCACTGACCAGTGGAATGGACCAGTGCAAGCTGGAATGCACCTCGGACCACTGAGAGTCGTCACCTGGGAGTCGTTGACTGGGTCGACCGACCTCCTGGACTAGGGGCTCCACGTAGCTTGACGCATGTGATCCAGAGTTGTCACTTTGAAGTTGAGGGTCCTTGATTCCCTGACAATCCATGACCACACATAGGTCACAAATAGAAATGATCTCAGGATATGCATACGTTTCTATTGATCGTGTTATTTGAAGACGTTGTCGAATCACAGATTGGGGTACCTGAAATGTATTTATATTCCAGTATCATTGTCGGAGGATAAGACCATGAAATCCCAAGAACCAAGCATACCAGGGCGTGACGAACCGTGACAGACCGTGATTGGTCTATGTTTTCCCTTTAAAAATGTCTTGGGAAATTTGGAAGGTTGATCCAGGCCATCATGATCAATCCACGCGCCTGTAGATATCTCGCCCCGCAAAGGATCACCAGGATCGGCGAAAAAAAGGGTGGAACGCGGACTGTGGGCGATGGTTGAAGCCCTTACGGGATTGAATCCGCAAAGGGCTTGCGCGGAATTTGGGGCTTCTTTCACGGGGAAAAGTGCTTGTCCACTTGTCAACTTGTCACTCCAACCCCATGGCGTCCCATGGGATTGGACTAAAACGAAGTGGGACATCCCCTCCAGAGGAACCAGCAGAAGGCCAACAGCTCGGGGGCTAGCAGGGCTAGATGGCAGTGGTGCCCTGTTAGATCAGCTTGTCTCGGTGCGTGGAAGAGGGTGTGTTTGGACAAGGCGGCCGACAGCCGCAGCTTGTGAGGTACACCCAGAATGACAGCAAGATCTTAGGAACTTTGGTGAAGGAGAAGAAGGCAACGCTGCAGTTGGAGCCGCCGCCGGGGTATGGTCCTAGTGTAGTTTGTTGGGTGGATCTTGACTGATCTTGTGATCTTGCGAAGGTGGTCATGCTTTGAACTTGATGTACACATGGTGAACGCATGCTTTGGAGCTGTGACTCTTTCACAGCTGGCGTTCATGCTTCGCCTTTGCAGTTCATATCAATTCACAACAGAGTATACTGGTTCGGACACTTGCTGCTACATACACGGAAGTGATGGAGTGAAAAACAGTTGATGGATGTTGATGGTACCTGCCCTAGGGATCCACTGCCACCTTCTCAGGAGGTACTTGGGCCCTCTAAGCCTACATAACAGTGTCGAACACATCACCTTCTGAGAAGGTACTTGGATCCCTTGGTTGCTGCTTTTATTGTGTCTCGGTACCTCATGCTTGAAAACGGTCATCCCAACGGGCCATGTGGAAACGGCGATTCCACCGCGGTGATTCCAGTAATTACTGGAGTTGATGATAGGACGGACTGATCCTGTTTCGGAGGATAGAACAAACATGAATTAAAGAGGTATAGCAGATCCAATCATGGGAGTGGATGTGGTTGTTCCACGTTCCGAAACATCCCACCGTGGGTTTTCAGAGCACGCGAACTCCTCCAACGGCCTTCGAAAAAAAAAGACGTTCGAGGCCACCTGCGGCCCCAACGTGCCACAGCAGACGGAGTGCAGCTGCTTCCCCGGGAATTCCGGTGACTTGTTCAATCCAAGTTTCAGACCTGGGGATCCACATTAATGTAGACTCTTGATTAATACACCCCCCCATTTGAATGCACGAAACTTGTGGACAGAATCTGACGCGCGTGGACCTCTTCAAAGGGGGGGGTGTTATTAATCAAGAGTCAACATTATGTACCCTTTGAGAAAGTCATTGGGGCCTCTTTTTATGTAGGCATGGAGCGGTCGTTTTTTGGGATAGGCGGTTGACTGAGATCGGCTGATGTGCGTGAACACGACCCAGGCACCCTGCGAGTCGGTAATAGGCCCAGGCTCGGTCCGTGGTTGGAGCATGGCCACGCGCCCTTAGACGGCATGCACACACGGAACATTTTAGACACTAACTTGTTTTAACCTACTCAAGCTTCACACATACCGAAAGTGGATCCAGACAGAGGATGGTTTGAACAACATTTGTCATTGTTTGGCACTCGTTTCTGGAGAATTCTCGTTGTTTCTTGTCAGTTCACCGTACCTATATATATTATACTATATTATCCCTAGGGCTCCAACCATATCCTCAGGTTCGGTGGTATTCGACCCCCATGGCACCCACCCCTGGCCCATCGAACCGAAACGGAGGGGGGCGGCCACGAGCCCAAACGGGTACACTCCCGCACACATACGTGGAAGTGGAGAACCCAAAAAGGCCTTTATACGTGGAATTCCAAACACACATATCCACCTTCCATGTTAGGGAAACCGAAAAAAAAAAGTCAGCAACCAAGACTAACATAGAACCCACCTGAAATACCTCCTCCACCCACTCTGGCAGCACTAACATGGAAGCTCAACAACACATTTACATCAATACACCATGGCTTCCAGGTTAGTGAAGTGTCAGCGCACTCTGTACAATCACTCCGTTTTTTCCCCATCACCGCTTTCAATTCCCTTCGGCTGTTTGTAAGACATGGCAGCTGTACTGTGAAGGTTCAAAGTTAATCCAAATGCTGTACTGCATCTTGCATGAAAGAGAAGCGTGCTTTAGCTGCTTCATTCTCTGGATGATCCTTTACGAACCATGCCCAAAGCTTCAAGAGCGCTAAGCCCAGTGCCTTTTGCTCACTCCTGGTGGCACCCCAGCTAGGGCTGTAGCTCTTGCCAGGATACTGAGCATGCCATTGGCTGCTTGATTGATGGCACCAAATGTGAACTCCAGACTTGTTCGGAATTTCCGTCAGTCCGGCGGCGTGCAAAGCCACAAAAGCTTCTCTCTTGAAAAACGACGGCTGCTTGATAGCGACAGCCACTGCCTTCTCCTCAGAATCAAGAGAAGCACATTTCTCTTCCAGGTGCATTTGGATGAATTCGGATGGGTCCACCTTGATGGCCTGCTCCAGCACCTCTCCGGAATCGGACTCCTCCTCACCAAAGAGTTCCATCTCCTTGTCAGCAAGTGGAGCCATTTTCACCTTCTCTGAACCTCCCGCGGGCGCGGGAGCAGGATCGAGGACCACTTGGTCGGTTGGATCTTGGCCTTCAGTGTGTTGCAGCACAGTAAATGATTCCAAAACATACAGTACACTAACAAGGCAGTTGACTGCTACACAAATCACCAAAGATGAATGCACTAGTGTACCCCAAGTCTTTGCAATGATGACCCACAGTTCACTAACAAAGAACTCAAACCATGAGAAAGGAGAGATGCCTTGAAGCCCATCTTCATCATTCCATAAGAAATCCTCATCATTGGCACCCTCATCGTCCATCTCCTCCTCATCCACAATAACCTCCGCTGCTAAATGGTCATAGCCATCCATGAGGAATGTGAACTTGGATTGGGCACCCCCCTTCACGAAGATCAAAGCATCTTACTGGAAGCGCTGGCTTGTCTGGAGCTGTTTTCACCGTGAGCTTGACATCTCCAACAGGCAGCAAGTCAAACCCAAGAGTGACTATAAAGGGACAGGCCTTTCCAAGCTTCTTCTTCATACAGGGAACCCCATCCATGACCTGGATGTGATTGTTGAGCCACTGCTGACTCGCAAGCTCACCGGTTCGAGGGTTGAAGACCATGTATCGGCTAACCGACTTGAGATTCTCAAACTCTTGCTTGGCCTTCTTGGTTGCGGCCTTCTTGAGATGTTCATCAAGAGCAGAGAGCTCCAAAAAAGAGTTCCTTGCAGCCCTGAGCTTTGCACCATGAAGCATCAGGGTCCGGACAAATGCGCTGGCAAGCTCATACGACATCGATTGCCACTCGCCAGATTCCACCTGTCCACAGGTTCCATGTTAGTGATCTATAGGTTATAAAGTAAACAATGTCCCTGAAGGTTACAGTACAACCAGCTTCTATGTTAGTGGTGCTACAGTACCTAGAACCAGGCACAGTACAGTACCTGTAAAAAAGACAGCAGGCCTGAACTTGCCACTCAAAGACGGTGCAGCGTTGTGGGGTTCCCTTCAAAGGACCAAATGGGCTGGACAAGATCTTCATGGCATCATCGAACGTGACAGAGCTCACACCCGACCCCTGGTACTTGGCAAAGTGCTCTTCACCAAAGTACCCGCAAAGCAACCAAGCACTTTGAAAGACCTTTTGATCCAGCTGGCGCCAAGCATCAAGAGAAAGATTGACCACTGATAGCCAACTTTTGACCTCCCTCACCAACTGGCCACTTGCTCTCATGCTCACCTCTTCAAAAGCTGCCCTGGAGCGAAGGTCCGCATGCATCGAGAGGCTGCTCACATCAAGGCTTCTGATCTTCTCCCGATACTGCATATGACACTGATCGACAGGTTGGCCGTGACAACTCCAACCACCAGGTTGCTTCCGAGGTTCTCTGATTCGGTGAAGCTTGCAAAATGCCCGCCTGGATGGGTGTTGCAGTAAAAGTTACTGTACTGTAACATTGGGGTTTGCAGTTCACGCGCAGTACTGTATGCAGTAGAGTAAGCCTCCTATGATTGGCTTCCATGTAAGTGTAATTACGGTACAAATCCTGGAGTCACCTAGATATGATAAGAAAGTACAGTACATTGCACATGTACTGTACACTCCTGTACAGTAAGTACAGCACAGCAGCCTACAGTACAGTTCTAGAATCTCTGGCCTTCTTGCGTCTTCTCCTTTGCTTGAGCTGTGCGTTCCACTCCAAGCATCTGCCAAAAAGGCAGCTTCAGCTCCAGGATCATCCAGCTTCAATCCATACCTTACAGTACCAAACCCAAAAAGATCCTCTAACGTGGAAGTCATCCTAATCCTTGTTTCCTGTGAAACTACAATACAGTACAGTGCAAAGTTACAGTACAGCACACTGTACAGCACAGTAGTAGGACAGTATAAAGCAAAGGTTGCACAACACCCATTGCAAAGGCTGAGTGACCGAGAGCGTTGCTTTGCCAAGGCCGGAGAGTACAGCTGTTCCCACACTTGAAGCAGGGTGTCGCTTGTCATGAAATGAGAATTGGTGCCTGAAGGCACCACCATGGCAGATGCCACATGGGAGGCATTGAACTCCTGTATCTCTGAGACCGACAAAGCTCCGTCTGGGCAGCAAAACGCGATAGGTCCTGGCGTACCATCGGACCAACTTGAAGTTAATACCTCAGCAGACCAGCATACACTAACATGGAAGCTTGGGGTAGGGTTACAGTATGTATGCAGTACAGGGCTGTACATATGTACAGTACAGTATGTCTTTTTGGAAACTACAACTACAGCCAAGATACTGTCAAGCTTTTTTCTGCATCCTTTGATGTAATGAAGCTTTTTGTCTACATGGTGGGGAGCCTTCTTGATTGAACATCTTTCTCCTACTGCCTCACGTGGCTTGTAGAAAAGACGGCCATTGAACTGGAAGGCACACCTCCATACCTGGTCAAAGTTCAAAACCAGCGCTCCATGAACACCATCGGCTAACGTGGCTGCCATATGATCCCTGGATGCCTGCATGTCAGGATGCGCATATGGTAGGTACGCTTGAGTGTCCCCACCGCGTGACAGCAAACTCCACCCAAAGTTGATCCGGAACTTTCTGCACCATTGTTTCGATGGAATGGCAAGTGTTTCCGGGACATCCTGCAATCCTGCCGCCAAAGCAGCGGCTGTCAGCTCGCCCCTCTCATGCCTGTCCACCAGCTCCTGATTCTGACGCTCTACAAGTTCTTGAGCTTCTTTCTGGCAGGAGTTCCATTCCCGAATCATGCCCTCAATGGTAGTCGCCTCGCAAGTTTGATTGTCCGGAGAGTAAGGAATGTAGGGTCTAAGTTCTATGTTAATGTATGACCACACTTGATTGTCCTGAGAGCAATGAGTGCAGGTTCTATGTTAATGTGCTACAGCACAAAAACTTGCTCAAAGAAGGACAAGTTACAATATGCTCTGAGGTGACAATATCTGAGCGCTCTGATATTTCAGACATTCCCTGAGCATGCAGCATGATGAGCCTGTCCAGCTCCTTTTGCAAAAGCTGTGGCACTGCACCTCCTGTCTCCCGACCACGAGATGGTAATCCACGCTTGACTCTCCATCCATTGCATGTAGTCACTTCCCGTGCTTGGGCTGTCTCAGGCAAATGCTCCCAGCCCTCCCTCTCCGCTGCCTTGGTCCACTTGCACACCTGACACTTGCCAACCACTTCTGGGTATTGTTCTGCACACGCCTTTTGGATGTTCATCCTGGCGACTTTCTTGGCTTCTTGCTTTCTGGCACGGAATTGAGCTCTTTCCGGACCTGTCATGCGAGCTGGCCTCGGCTCAGTAAGGACAGCGAGAGCAGCCTTCTTTTCTCTATTCAATGCCCACCAGGTCTTCACCACCTTGAGTTTGTCTGCTATGACAAGTTTCCTGCGCGGCTGAGCAGGTGGTAGCTCAAAGGACCCACCATCCTTTGTGGCACGTGGCCTCCGCTTTGGCAGCTGGCACTTGGCATTCTTCTTCACCCAATACTGCTGTCGCCGCCGCTTCCTAACTGTCACAGTATTGTAAAGTACAGTTCAATAAGCAATGTGTGGGCCCACAAGTATTGTAAGCAGGGGGGAAATGCAAAAAACACATGTAAGGGCATATGCTAACATGGAAGCTACCCTGAAGAAAAGGGTACAGTACACAGTGCGGTACAACAATACTGAAGACTGAGAAGTGAGAGTCAACTGCTGTGCAATCTTGGCTGAATCCTTCTCAAGGATTGACTTGACCCTTTTCTTTGCTCTAGCCTCATGAATCGCATTGGAGCGCTTGCGGGTAGAAAGTCGAGTGGATAGGTTCTCCAGCTGCTGCTTGGTCTTGGTCAAATCCAAATGCAGGGCTCCAATCTTCTCGGTCAATTTGACAAGTACTTCCGGGAATGGTACGTCTGATGACGCAAACCAAATTGGCTGGTCTTCAATCTCACACTCCAAGCACTGTTCAAAGTATTGGCACCAAGTCTGATCTGCCGGCTTCTTGGAACCATGTGTATCCAGGGAAGTAATGGCAATCAAGATTCTGCTCCATAGATCATGGACCCCTTGCTGTTCCTCGATCTTGCCGGAAAGTTCAGAGGCTCTCTTTTCAAACTCCTCCGTCCGTGACTTGTGCAACATCTGCTTCTTGTGAAAGTTGTCTTCAACCTCCATGGCATTCTTCCTGCAGTACCAAATGGCAATTTACAGTACTGTACAGTATTTGAACCTGTGTGGGGAGTACAGTATCCCTGAAGCTGATGTAGGTTCTATGTTAGCAGCTGTTACAGTAGCAGTCACAGTACGGTGCTGTACAGTGTTTGAACCTGTGTGGAGAGTACAGTATCCCTGAAGCTGATGTAGGTTCTATGTTAGCAGCTGTTAGCAGTCCCTCACAGTACAGTACAGTAGAGCTTGGGGAAAAAAAAAACAATGCAGCGCAGTACTTTACAGGATCCCTAACTCTGTCCTCTTCAGTTCCAAATTCTTCTTGACCTGGACCAAGCGCGCATCCTTAATATCTGCAGCCGACAGAGATTTGTTCCAATCCGCAATGTTCAAAAGACCTGATGACAAAATGCCCAACTTCCCCACAGCTGCATAGAAGAGATCATCGTCCGTGTCTTCCAGTCCATGTTCTTGAAATGAGAACTTTTTCACGCTGACGGAGCTGAAGTCTTTCTCGTTCGTGCCCAAAGGTGAGTTGCTCGGAATGGTAAAGATGTAGAGGTGGCTGCCTTCTTCTGGCCTCATGTTAAGCGGCATGCTCTCCAGCACCTCAAGGGCAAGGTACAGACTTGTGAGAACAAGAAAGATTACAGTACAGTATTGTACTAACATGGAAGGTTGTGAGGTGTCCCCAACCATGAAACTGTAAAGTAGTTCCTGTAGACAGGGTGCTGCCAAATGCTTGGGACAAGGCGCTGAAGCAAGGTTCCCTTCAAACTGGTCAAATAAATAGAGAGCGCCAGCTTTCTTGTCCTGGAGCTGCCTGGATGCATGCTGCCAAAAGCCATCTACGTCGGTAAGGAAGTCTCCCATGCACATAGCTGAGAGACGAGGGCGATAGATTTTGTACATTCTGACATCTTCTATCCCAAGCGCTGCCACATACCTGGCGGCATTGCCGTTGTTGCCATTCAATGCCTGCTTCATTTTCTTCAAGGAGATCGCTGGTATGATGAGCTTGGCATCCAGGAATCGCACTTTGTTGGGACGTAGATCAGATTGTACAGCTGCGGCTGCATCTTGCTCTCCATCTCCTGTAACCAGAAAGTGCTGTGTCACATCCGTTGCAACCATTTGCTCTCCTGGGGCAGCACAAGAGCTAGAGCTTGCTGCTGGATTTGCTGGGACTAGTGCTCCGGCAGCAGCAGCAAGTGCTACATGGGTGCTTGCTTTTTGCTTGAGGTCGGTGTTTGCTTTTGTTTTCTCGAGGCTAAGCTCTCCTCCTCCTGGTTCCTGTACTGCTGAAGCTGTATGTGCAGATGCCATGTTAGCGCAACCTGGTGGGGCACCTTTGCTGG